GGATAGTATGAGGGGTGTTCGCAGGTGTGGGGGGAGGGGGGGGTCCAGGGCAGAGTAGGTCAGAACAGGGAGTCGAGTTACCTGTGCGGGCCGGCCAGCGGCTTGTGGCCTGGGGCAAGCTGTGTGTGTGTGCAGGCGTGTGTGTGGGGCATATACCACCCACCAGCATGAGGGGGGGCGGGTGTCCCTATACCATATGCCTGTACTAGCAGTCCAGCTACGAGCACCGGATGCGGGACAAGCAGCAATGCTCCGGCTCCCCAACGTCACCGAGAGACTGGGTAGTGAGTTATTGCCACCCTGTTGGCCAACAGAAATTTACCCTGGGATCAATAAAGTTTTATCTTTTCCTACGACGGCACCGCCCAGTGAGCCCTTTGCTATCTCTGCTACTCCCACCACACAGGCATACGCAGGGGACACTGCCAGTTCTCCTCACACTGCAGAACTGGGGCCCAGATGCTGGTACAGGCTGGAACTTAGTCCAGAAAACCAGACAGCCAGACAAATATCAGATATTCACTTGTAGATAAATAACTATAAAGCAAATGTCATTATCTGCATCAGCCCTAAAAAGAAACGTCGATTAGCTATTCTGCTGACTTAAAGTTCAAATTCCAGGAAATGTTACGGGTTGAAATATAACAAATAATCTTTCTTAATATACATCGAAGCAACGTCCTTATTTTATCGCTATTTTATCGGGGTACCCTCAAGTAAGACTGTCAAGATGTGTCAGTCTGCGGTCAGAAATTATGACAGGTAAAATCAGGTTGAATAAAAAGATTGGATAAGATAGAAATGGTGTGTGCGCGCACGCACACACACACACACACACACACACACACACACACACATTCACCAACACAGAGACACATGCACACACAGAGACGCACACACACACACACCAACACAGAGACATACTGACACAGAGACGCAGCAACACAGATGCACGCAGGGACCCCAGGACGAGGATTAAGCAGCTCTGTGCCCCCCCCCCCCCCCAGACAGGCAGGTTCCCTCATGGCTAAAATGGCCTCTGAAAACTTCTGGGCTGAGAATCACCGTGGGCCTTTAATTGGTGTCTTAAAGCATTCAGCTGAATCTGCGGGCCACAAACACAGCAGACCGGCCCTCTCCGAAAGGGGGACAGCCACCCAGAAACATCCGTGAGGGCAATTTTGGAACTTAAAGCCAGTGCTTAGAGCTGGGCGATTAATCAAGTTTTAATTTCAATTATGATTTCGGCTTCCAACGATAATCAAAACAAAACAAGTAGGGAAAACGATTATTGTGACACATTTTGTTTGGTGATGATGCTCCCGTTTTGTCCTGTGTGATAAGCCCATTGCAGACCTTTCATGTCTCTTTTTTTCTCTCAGTTCAATGATATTTAGATTTCAGGGAAATCTACTGCTAAAAAGACATTTTTTTGTTTATGTTCAATAAATGCATGATATTTCCAAAGTCAATGGATGATCATGTACAATAATCACGTTTTGACCAAAATAATTGTGATTATGATTTCTGCCATAATCTAGCAGCCGTTCAGGCCCATTTGACTGCGGTACTGAGCTACACTGAGCGACGAGCCCCCCCGCCACAGTCAGGCATATACTCACGTCATGGTGGGGGGGGGGGGCTTAGTGGGAACACTTTATATCACAGGGTGTGGGGGACCCCGAGGAGCAGCAGCCTGACAGTTAATCCCTGCCCCCCCATGCCCCCCCCCCAATGTCCCCAGCAGGAGAGGAGGCGGTCACACTCCGATGCTCATGTAGCCTGATTCAGGATCAGTGTTCTTTCTGTGCTGGTGCCACTCAACCATAAAGGGAGAGGAGGGCTTTGCACAGGGCCGATTTTTTTATTTTTTTGGGGTGGGGGGGGGGACGACTGCTTCTGTTTACTTACAAAAGGGTGTGTGGGGGGGGGGGTTGATGGACTGAAGCAGAAGCAGGGGAATTGGCACAGCGGCCGTGCCAAGCTCCAGCAGATCTCCGGCCCACGGCAACAGGGGACATTTAATCCCCCCCCCTCCCGGTTAGCAACCACCATGCCGGCAACGCGAATGACCGATCGACACACAGGGCTCCGGCACAAACGTGCACTGGGACGCTGCCACCTGAGACTATGGAGGGCCGGCCGGGACACTATGGGGGGGGGGGGTCAAAGGTCAAAACATACACACAGAAAAAAGCACCACCTGAAAACAGAGGAGGGGCTCAGCTCGGCGCGGGCTCTCAGGCCTCCAGATGTTGGGGCACGGGAGCCAAAGTGCCCCCCCCAATGACCATGGGCCCCGTGGTGATGGTTGGGGGGGGGTTCACCGGCTCCAATGGAAAGGGCCCCCCAACCGGAGCACCGTGCTCCCGTCTCATTAGTGCTGCCATTAGCTGGAAAACGATCCAATTTCACGGTGGGTTACAAATAAACTACACTCTCCCCCCCCCCCAAAAGCTCTGGCTTTAAATTAGCACTTCCTGCCCCCCCCCCTCCACCCCACAGTTCTCTGTGATTCTCCTGCAATTCTTTCAGCTCAATATTAATAGCATTAGCATGGAAAAGAAATTAATTCTTCAAGGCGCCTTCAAAACACTTTTTCTCCTATTTAATGTAACGTTTCCGCAATAAAGGTTCTGG